GTCTTCAACTGATCAAATTTTGGAGGCAGAGAATTGAGCGCCATGTGAATAATGAAGGCATCATCAACTGGAACTTCCAGATCTTTTAGCTTTGCGGTAGTCTCCACTAGCTTGAGAATATGCTCCCTCACACTCTTATTCTCATCAAGTTTGAGAGTGGTCAGTGTAGTCATCAAATCACCCATTTCTGCCTTCGCAGACTCTTTGAACTTGGTGCTCACTGCATCCAGAAACTCTTTCTCTTTGTCACAGGCTGTGATTCCACCCATGACTGTCTCACCCATTGCTCTTTTCATCACCATCAAGGACATTCTGTTGGCTTTCTCCCATTTCTTAAACTTAAGCCTTTGATCAGTAGTTAAGTTTTCATCCACTGGTGCTGGTTCATCATCTCTCAAAGCCAAATTGAGATCCATCAGTCCCAGCACGATCTCAATGTCTTGCTTCCATTTCTTGAAATTCCCTCCATTCAAAGGTTCAATGGAGGACAGGTTTATAGCTGAGGTATTCACTGAAGAAGACATGCAAACATTAAAATCATTCAAACGCATGCTTATATCATACCTTTAGGTAAGACTATAAGCCGCCATTCATTCTTTATTGTACACCCACCATTATAGAATCTTTTCACACAATTATATTAAGTCTTTGGACAAGTATATGGCCTAATCAATATGATGTTATACACTGATCAAAACTTTAACAATTCATACATTCTTTCTTTGGACAAGAATGTTGACATTCAATAAGTTTTCATCACCAGTTATGTATGCATATAAAATCAAGAAAAAATTTAAAAGAACATGAGATGCATGATCTCACAACAATATTGTACGAGAAACACAAATAAGATTAGGAGCAGTTAGTTGGCTCTAATACCAAATGTAGGACTTAACTCCATATACTTAACTGAAACACGTAATCACTATCATGAAAGCATTAGAGTGATACCTGAAGAAGACATGGTTAGTTGCACAAGGAATCCTTCTACTCACTCAAGACCTTTATATTCTTATGGTGATAGAACCCTATGTTCGCAAAATCTATTCTTGCTGAGCAGGGAACTCCTATATATAAAGAAACAACAACTGCTAACTCCCATCTATCGTGGGTGAGTTGGTTATTGTCCTGTTGTATCAAGTTCAACGGAAAAAAGGTTAGTGGAGGGCAGTTGCATCCCAAACATTTCGAATGTGTTTCCATAATAATAGGATGTTAGTTTTCCACGTATCAAACTCTTATTGAAGTTGTATTATCCACATGTAATTCCACTTTTATCGCAAGTAGTTAAGTCCACATAGGATTCCTACATTCTTCTCAAGACAATGGTCTTGGAATAGTTGGATTTGCTTTGATTCAAAAAGGAGGCATGATGGTAATAATATTGGAAATGCAGGGACGTCTTCTTTTACCACGGGTTCAGGTTCAGGGCGTTGCATTGATGCTTTTGATTCTAAACTGGGATCGAGCATTAATATGATTGTAATGCCGCTGGTGCTCGGTGTTCCAGTGCTCATAGCATATTTCTTTCCCTCCACCTTTACACCAATCCAGGAAGAAATCAAGGTAGGGTCAAGGTTTCCTAGTTGAGATTTGAAATTCAAAGTTGGTCTAAATTAAAATTATGTAAGGAATGAACATTATTTATGCGTTTGTGTTATAATGCTAATTGAGATAAAGATAAAAGTGTTTAGGTTTTGAATTGTGTATATTTATTCTTCTCTCTAGGAGGTAAATATATAGTTGTACAATATCCCACATAACAGGAAATAAGAATCCCAATTATACAAGGAATAAATTATAGGATTACATTCCTAAACTAAATGGTTGACTCACGCCAACACTCCCCCTCAAGTTGGTGTATAGATATCTCCTAAGCCAAACTTGTCAAGTGAGTCTTGAAACACCCTTGCTAAAACTGCATGAGTTAACACATCTGCTAATTGTTCTTTAGACCTCACGTATGGAATATCAATCAATTTGACATCTAACTTCTCTTTGATGAAGTGTCTATCTACCTCCACATGCTTTGTACGATCATGCTGAACGAGATTATTGGCTATTTCTCTCGTAGCTTGATTGTCGCAATATAATAACATAAATCCTTGAGACTTGAACCCAATCTCAGTGAGAAGAATCCTGAGCCATAATAATTCACAAATTTCATGTGCCATCCCTCTGTACTATGCCTCAACCGTGGATCTAGCCACTACATTTTGCTTCTTGCTTCTCGAAGTTACTAGATTTCTTGCTATGAATGTGAAGTAGCCTGATGTGGAGTGACGATCAGTAATGTTTCCCGCCCAATCAGCATCAGTATACCCCTTTACCTCCATATGTCCATGCTTCCTGAAGATCAGTCTTTTACCCAGTGCACCTTTCAGATAACTCAGTATACGCATCACTGCTGCCATGTGATCTTCACTAGGAGTATGCATGAACTGACTTACAACACTAACTGCATACGTAATATCCAGACGTGTAAGTGATAGGTAAATCAATCGTCCTACCAATCTCTGATATCTTTCTTTATTGGTAGGAACTTGATCCTGGTATATCGCCAGGTGATGATTTTGCACAATGGGAGTTTCAACTGGTTTACAAGCTAACATTCCAATTTCAGAGAGAAGATCAAGAACATACTTCTACTGAGACAAGTAAACTTCCGCTGAGACAACTAAATACCATCATGAGAATGAGCAACTTCAATGCCCAAGAAGTATTTCAAGCCTCCTAGATCCTTCATCTCAAATTCTGATGAAAGATACCCTTGTAACCTTTTTATCTCTTATGTGTCATCACCAGTAACTATTATATCATCCACATAGATAATCAACAAAGTAACTTTACCTCCCATGCGTTTGATGAACAGGATGTGGTCCGCATTTCCCTATCTATAGCCCTACTTTTTCATTACTTCAGTAAACCTTCCAAATCATGCTTTGGGTGATTGTTTGAATCCATAGAGAGCCTTTCGGAGTCTACATACTTTCCCTGCTTCATTCAGTGTTTCATATCCTGGTGGAAGATCCATGTATACTTCTTCTTCTAGATCTCCATGTAAGAAAGCATTCTTCACATCAAATTGTTTCAAAGGCCAGTCCAGGTTAGCTGTTAAAGATAAAAGGACTCGAATAGTATTCATTTTTGTGATCGGAGCAAACGTTTCTTGGTAGTCAACTCTAAATGTTTTTGTGTACCCTTTAGCTACCAACCTTGCCTTGTACCTGTGAATGGATCCATCCGCATTGTGCTTTATGGTGAACACCCATTTACATCCCACTGGTCCCTTCCCTTATGGTAGTGACACTGCATTCCATGTTCGATTTTTTTGTAAGGCTTCCATCTCTACTCCCATGGCTTCTACCCAATAGGGATCTTGCAAAGCCTTTTCCACTTTTGTTGGAATTTTGATCCCAGCCATTTGATTCACCATGGCTTGGTACTTGGGTGACAGTCAATGAGTGGACACATACTGTGCAATTGCATATTTCACTTTTCATTCTGAAGAAAACTTGTCAGGTGGTTTCCCACGGTTTTGCCTAGGAGGTAAAATATAGGAATTTTCAACAATATCTGGAGTATGAGAACGTACCTCTTGGATATCCATGGGGACATGAGCATGTACAAGTGGAGGAGAATGAGGGTTATTTTCTGTCTGCACAGTCTCAGTATCATTCATGGACCCATTATGTTCTACTAAATCCATAAATGGTGTAGGCCTACTATTCGACGTTGCATGAGCTATCTCTCGGTCAGGGGTGTCACGATCAAGATCCACTGGGCTTTGGCTTGTTGTGTCGTTGCCCATTACCAGGCTCTGAACTGCTATGTTGTGGCCTATTGATGTGTCACGACCCTCTGGTAAGGCACGGTTAGGTGGGTTGCTCATAACACCTAAGTCCTTAGTCTCTGTCTCGCCTGTACCACTGGGGCTATGCCAACTGTCTTGTTCATGTGGAACATCAAACCAACTGTAGTCTTCGTCTTTTCTATTCAACTCCCCCTGAAGAGTACCGTGGGTTTGATCAAAGATGAAAAACATCTCAATTTCGAAAAACGTGACATCCATGGTGACATAGAAATGCTTAGTAGATGGATGGTAACATCAATATCCCTTTTGTTGGCTATTAAATCCTAGAAATACACAACGAACAGCACACGGATCCAATTTACTTTGTTGATTCTTGTGAAGATGCACATAAGCCACACGTCCAAATATGTTAGGTGATAATTGAAGAGAAGATGGTAGAGTGACATAATCCGTCAAGACTTCCATGGGAGTTCGGAAGTTGTGAACTCGAGAGGGCATTCGATTAAGAAGATAAACGGAATACGTAACTGCATCCGCCCAATAGGCATGAGGAGCATGAGCCTCAATTAGAAGAGCCCGTGTAGTTTCCAAGATATGTTTGTTCTTACGTTCTGCCACACCATTTTGTTGAGGAGTTTGAGGACAAGTAGTCTTGTGAAGTATGCCATGCTCTGCGAAAAATTGTGATAGTTTAGAATTAAAATATTCTCCACCATTATTGGAGCTCAGGACTTTGATAGGAAGAGAAAATTGATTTCCAATCATCCGATAAAACTGTTGGAAAATTTGCCCAACGTCACTCTTCTGTTTCATGGTATAGAGCCAAGTCATTTTGGTGCAATCATCGACAAAGGTAACAAACCACCTAATACCATGGCGCGTCGTTATTGGTGAGGGACCCCATACGTCAGAGTGAATTATCTCAAAGGGCACTGATCTTTTATTGAGACTCAAGTGGTAAGAAGTATGATGACTTTTTGCCTATGATGCATGGACACGGACACGGATACGTGGATACGATACGACACGACACGGGTATACGTCAATTTTCTAAAAATGAAGACACGATATGGCAAGGATACGTCAATTAAAAATAATATAAATATATATATATATATATATATATCTAAATATTATAAAATAAGCATTCAAATATATTATTTAAGTTCTAATTTATTTCGATAAACTTCAAAAATTTAAAAAGATAATTCACTAAACAACTAAATTAGTCTTCAAACTTGAAAAACTAAAAAAACATCCAAACGACTTAAAAATAAAAAGAAAGAGTCCCTCATTCTCGAACTAGCTTTTTCATTTCTGCAAGAGCTTCATCACTAACCTTGTTGCAAGAGACGATCCCATTTTCAGGCATTTTTAACAAATGAAAATTGACCCGAGAATAGGATCATCTGAAAATCTTTTGACAATAGTTGCATTGAAAAAGAAAAGCAATAATATTATTCTAGACATTTATAATCTAAATTATTCTAGACCACTAACAATACTATTATTATAATAAGCAAACAGAAAAGCAAAGAAGCTTTTCGTTTGGTTTCAGAAAAGTAAAGTTGAGGCATCCTAGCAGAAAAGCATCAACATTATTAACAAAAAGAAAAAGGAAGCTTCAGGAAAACATAGAATTCGAAACCCAGTTACTAGCTCTCACTAGCAGATGCATAAGATACGATGCAGCACTTGCAAACAGAGATGACAGGAGCAGTTGCCGATGACGGTTCTGAGGTTCGAGTGAGGAAAAACAGGTAGATCCCAATTTTATACACAAAATCGTTTCAATTTTTGGTCAAAGAATTGTTTCGGTTCAGCTAATCTCCATCAACTGTCAATTATCACGATTCTGTGCGGATTAAGTGTAATTATCTTGATTTTTTTTTCTGTGATTATCCTCTGATTATAGTTTGAAACGTATCCGAAAAGTAGAATACTCGTATCTCAACACTAAGATACGCATATCCCATCAGTCAACAACGTATCTGTTGACTCGGATACGTATCGATCGCGTATCCGTACGTATCTTCCCACTTATCCGTATCCCCAGTGTGTCAGATACGGGATACGTTGATCTTCCCCCGTGTCCATGCATCATAGCTTTTTGCAAGAATGCAATTCTGACACTGAAAATCAGAGTTTGAAACGCCATTAAATAAAAACGGAAGTAATTTTCTTAAATAACCAAAAGATGCATGTCCTAGTCAACGATGCCATAACCAGATACTCTAACTTTGTTGTTGTGACCACTGCTCACTTGGTTGACTCGGCCCGGTACCACATCATTCACATAATATAACCCTCTTCTCTTAGTACCACGCCTAATGATCGTCCGTGTCTGGATATCCTGTAGTAGGCAAAAAGTGGAAAACATGAGTACAACACAATCTAATTGTTCCGTAACTTGACCAATAGAAAGTAAATGATTCGACAATGAAGGAACAAAAAGAGTGTTATGCGGAGATAGAGAGGGAGTAAGTGTGATGGAACCCGCTCCTATAACTGAAGCAATTTCACTGTTTGCTGTGATAACATTCTCCTTGGGTGGCACGGTTAAGTGGTGAAATAGGAATTCATCACATGTCATATGATTCATAATCCCGAAGTCAATTATCCAACCAGAATCTCGTTTAGTAGGTGCTGTAAATGCAGTCAATTTTACTTGGATAGTCATAACCATCGTTCATTAAAATCTGTTTGATTAAAGATTGCATTGGACCCGTGTCTTCTGTCGGTGCAGCAGCCGCTTGTCCTTTTGGACCGTGGACTGGGACAACTGTCATGGGCCCTGTTCGGCCTGCTGTAATAGCGGCCATTGCACACGAGTCTTCAACAACAGCAGCCATTGAAATCATGTTTGTAGACCAATTTTGAATACACTTGGTTTGTATGGAAATTATCTCACCGCTTTTCTTTTCTTCAGCCATTGCATGGACTGATTTTTGTTGGTTGATTTTGTTTGTAGCTTTGTTGTTTCCAAAGCCACAAGGGTTAGGTTTGTGGGTTCTACATTTTTTTTCGAACACCAGGGTTTGTGATTTCATGGCTTTGAGTGTTTCTAGGGTTTTTGGGAAGAGATAGACCGAAACTTGCTTTGATACTAATATAAACATAAAAGTGTTTAGGGTTTGAATTGTGTATGTTTATTCTTCTCTTTAGGAGGTAAATATATAGTTGTACAATATCTCACATAACAGGAAATAAGAATCCCAATTATACAAGGAATAAATTATAAGATTACATTCCTAAACTAAATGGTTTACTAAAGCCAACAAATTGTTACTTAGATAATACTTTCCCTGTACAGTAACAGACAAACGGTAGAGACTGACTAGAGACTAGAGAATGTTTTTGTATGTTCCGATTAAAGATCTCCTCATCCGTTAGTTGCGTGTCTTAGCGGCTGTTTGAGCAAATAGACGGGATCATTTTTACGAGTGTTTTTGTATGTATAGATCTCCTCATCCGTTAGCTGCGTGTCTTAGCGGCTGTTTGAAAACAGATGAGATTATTTTAAGCCCAGTTTGATAACCATTTTCATTTTAGTTTTTTTTTCTTCTTTTTGATAAAAGTGATAGTGGAGAATGGGAGAATCGAATCTAATACTTTCATTGCAATGGTAAATGGTCTTAACCATTTGAGCTATAAGTTCCTTGCAATTTGTGCCTTGTAAGTGTGTTTAAGTGTGAACTTTGTAAGTTCGTTCTTTCAAAATAAAAATCCATTTTATAACTCTGATAATTTAATTTCGACTACGAAGCAATGCATAACATTACAACCTAGTACAATATCAAAACAACATTATTTTCAGTAGCCTACAACCTAGGGCATCCAATGCATGATGCTAGGGCATCACAACGTTTCAACATTTGTGCTTTGTGAATGACTTGTTATTACTATGAAGATTGAACCACATTTGTGCTTGTAATTGCTAAAAGAAAGAATTGTGAAACAACGTAATAAATTAGAATCATTTGATTACTTTTAATTACTGAAAGTGTTATTATTATTTACATTTGAAATTTATTAACCATAAAATATTATTACCTCATTAGCTAAATTATTGTCACTTTGATTAATTGCTTCCATTTTTATAAGGGCATATTGCCAATATTTCAAGAGAAATTTTATTTGAACCCATGTAACCTCTTTCTACACCTATCTTATTCTCTACACTCATATTATTTGCAATTAAAGAAACAATATCTCTTTAAACCCAAATTTATTACCTAAACTACCCTTCCAAACCCAATTCAAAATGTAAAATTATCTTTACACCCATTTATAAAATTATAAATATAAAAAAAAATCCCCTTATAGCTAACTAGCTTGAATTTGGGTACATATGAAAATGTTCTATATATTATTGGCTTATTGAATGTTAATAATTGGAAAAACTGATCAGTTTTCACTTGAACTGTTCCAAAATTTTCTTGAAAGTTCCCTTCTCCACAATTCGAAGCTCAAGAGGCCGGATCGAATTGCTTCTCCTTGAGACCACATAGCCATGATCCAAAAATGTTGCATGCATTTCTCTACAACATTCACTAAGAACTCTCTTTTCAACTTATTCTTTGATCTCCTAGTATATTATGTAGTGGCCTGGTTTTGGGATATCAAATCTGCATGGCTCGTGAAATCGATCAGCTCGGCTTTCGACTTGCTCTATAGTTCAGATCCTTTATGGACCACCATTTGAAGGTTCTTTTCAGTGTTTTTTTTCTATGTTTACTGTCAGTATTGATAACGTTTTGTAAAAATAGTGATTTGGTATGGTAGGGTTTGATTATTAGGGTGGGTTTATTGATAAATTTTAATTTTAATGTTAATTTCATCTTGTACTTGATGGTAATTATGCCATAGGGTAAAAAAAATAATTTTCATTTACAATTTAAGTTAGGTGTAGAGAGAGGTTATGTGGGTTCAAATAAAATTTCCCATATTTCAACTCTTTATGTAGATGTTTGTACCTATTCGACAGATTGCTCAGTCCTCAATATGCATTGAATCTACTTGACAAACTATGCATGAATCTTCTTCCACATTTGTTGCATCATCATCTCATCTTCTGTGATTGGGTCATGACTAATGCGCACCCATCACTCCAGCAAAGCAACGTCTTTCCCGATCTACCAATTTGCCTTATCACTCATTATTTTTTGTATAAGTAATTTGAAAAGTGGGAAAGAAAAATATAAGGGATTGTAGAAAAAAAAAAGTATTGACTTGTGGTGTGGGAATGAAAAAGATGGGTGGGGTATATAGAGAAGTTTTTTTGTAATTTTTTTTTTTTTGAATTTTAACTGCTGGATTAATTATGACCGTTAATTCCCATATACTTTGGAAATCAAAGCACCGGATTGTGCACGTGGCACAATGGTCGAAATTTAAATTTCTTTTTACCATTGAAAAATCCAACGACCAAAGCATCATACAATTGAAAATCAAGCAATTGAGGCGCAAGGAAGAACGAGTCGTTGGGATTTGGTGCGTCTGGCTGTATGTTCAGTGACTTTAGCACTGACATCGCGTGTTAACAACCTTCCAACAGACTTGGTGGAGCCCATAAATCGCCCCCAAAAAAATGGAATTGGAGAAATTTAAATTTCTTTTTACTATTGAAAATCCAATGACCAAAGCATCATACAGTTGAAAATCCAGCAATTGAGGCGCAAGGAAGAACGAGTCGTTGGGATCTGGTGCGTCTGGCTGTATGTTCAGTGACTTCAGCACTGACATCGCGTGTTAACAGCCTTCCAACAGACTTGGTGAAGCCCATAAATCGCCCCCAAAAAAATGGAATTGGATCCCATCTAGATCCAAATTATGGGGATCCTCGTATTTTAGTCATTCATTGTGTATCGTGGGTCAAAAATCATTTGACGTTTTTTTTATCAAATAATACTTGACAAAAAATAACCACACAATATACGATTAACAATTAGGATATAAAGATCCCTAAAATCTCACAAAATGAATCAGAGAAATTCCTCTTCGGGCTGCTGGAGCAACTTTCTGGGATTTTGAGCACTTTGGCAGCTCATGACTCTGCCTTATGCTCACCGCTGGATGAAGGATTACCATGCAAAGGAAAACCGCGTGCTGCATAGTTAAAGAGTTATTTCCTGAAAAGGCCTAAAAAGTAATTATATTTTATTTCATCTTTCAATATCATCTAATGCAATCAAATTTAATTAAATTCAATCCAATGTAAGTTGAATTAGGTTGGATTGGACCTCAGAATTGTACAACAATCCAATGTACGTCAGATGCGTATGGGCTACATTTCAATCGTTTCAAACCAACAAATACATCGACTAAAATTACTGTGTTAAACAACACTCGGTACAAAAGCAGGCATATGCAGACACTTGAAATTGCATTCAACTTTGTCTGGGAAATACACACGTATAAGTCTGCACTCTCATAGGGGCGGACTCACTATGTATTGTATTTCAATTTTATGAACATTTTAATTTTGAAGTATTTCAAGTTTAGAGTGAGCTCTAGAAGTGAATCCCTAAAATAGGATGATTTGAGGAAAATTTTAATAGATGGGGACTTTATAAATACATGTGGATCGAAGCATAAGTTATTGAAGAAGCCTCTGTTTATTATTTTTTGTTAAGAATAATGCTAGGGAGATCAAGTTTTTTGAATTAAATTTGTAAATCAAATGATGTAATTATTAATGATTAGATTATTACTAAGCTTTAATTAACGTGTTTATTTCCTATTAGTGACATATCATTGGTTTGCAAATTAGGTCTAAAATTTTGGTTGATTAACATGTTTACTTTATATTAGTTTGCAAATTAAGTTTAAAGTTTTTGTCTCTCTAACATTATCCGTTGATTAATTATGCCAAAACACTTTTGATAAGATTTTGAGACACCTTCTAAACCGTGTTAATTAGTTTAGTGATTCTGAACCAGGTCCAGGTGGATGGTACCATACTTGTGATATGATGGCATGCATGACAAGCTGAATGATGAATGATGAATGCCTCGGGACAAAAAATGTTGTTCCATATCAGGCCGCCTGGCCGCCGCCGTGACAACAGATCATGCATGCATTGCATGTATACATTTTTACTGATATATAACAAAGATACTTAAAAAATATCTAAAAAAATATATGTAATTAACGCGAGCAGCCGTCAAATAGTATAACCTGATAGTGTTCTTGCTAGGTGGAAAATGGAAAGAACTTGGCTCCTGAAGAATTCAGGAGCAGGTCCTGCTTACACCTAATTTCGGATGGATACGTGTTTAAATTTTGAATTTACAGTAGCTAAATTCAGTTCGTGGAAAATTGTTCCAGAAAATGCACCCAATATATTTAAGAAGAAATTAAGTTCTCATTCCTCTTTCTTCTATTGCATTGATTAAAATCTTATTTCTTTTTAATTTTTGATCAAGGTCTCTAACTTTTAATGAACGTCATTATTTTTCTATCTCAATAAACACTATCGTTTCACCTCAATAAAAAAAAAAAAAAAAAGAACGTCATTATTTTTGTTATAAATTATTTATATATCAACATAATTAAATTTTATTTTTGAAATATATTCAATTAGTGTTAGAAACATTACATTTGGTACATTTATATTTATAAATTTCTATTTTTAGTTTGTACCATTTTTAATTGGCAACCCTTTTTTAATTGTATCAATTTTCTTTTTAATTTTAATTTGTACCCATATATTAATTTCATTTTGTGCCCATAATTTTTAAATTTTTATCTATACTCATAATTCATTTATAATGTACCCATTTTTCATTAAAACTCTTTTTTTTCCTTATAAATGTAACACTTTGTTATATGTAAAATGTACCTTTTTATTTTTTTTTCGTAAATGTACCATTTTTTTTTATGTAAAATGTATTAAATGTAAAATCTATTTATTTTTTGTTAAGAATGTGTACATATTTATAATCAAATGTACCCTTTTTTATTTTTTTTTGAACACTATGGGTACATTTGTTTGACATTTATTATTTCAAAGGTATATTGTTACCTATTTTTATCTATTTAATCAATCAAAATTTTTGAGTATTTTCTTTTTTATTGTAATTGTTTTTAATTTATATGCCATATAATATGAGATTTTAAATCTGATAACATTTCAAGTAATTAATATCAAACATATGAAAATACATATTAATAGCAATAATGAGGTGT